CCAGGTCTTCTTCAAGCCAGTTAAGAAAGGAAGAACAGCTTAGACACTCAGGCAGCTGAACTCACCAAAGGTGGACATCATGCAGCCCCCCTGAGCCTTGAGCCTCTCTGTGTGAGGAAGCTTTGCTGCTGCAGACCTGGTGAAGTTGCTCTAGACAGAAATATTTTTTGCTCTGCTGCAGTGCTGAAGGTATTTATTGTAATGATGTGTGTATTTATTCAATATGTTTAGTTTCACAGATTATCAAGACAAATGTTTCTGTTTATTTCCTGTTTTCAACCAGCTACATTCTCCTACTTCAAGTCACTGTCTGTTCATCCACGGTGTAGCTAGTGCAGCTAACTAATGGTGATCCTACAAGTCCTGCAGTCCTGTGAAGCAATCTGCAGCAGATGTCATCACATTCAGATCATCAGTTCATCTCTACTGCAGCTTTAAACTGTCCCTGAGGTAACGGTGTATTTCCTTGCCCCATAACAATAACCATGTTTGACAAACATACAAAAGCACAGTATTGCTGTTAGCACAGGATTTTTCTATTGATTACACAGTTAAAGTGAAGGGGATTTTGTTTGTTTTTTTCAGACCTCTCTTCCTCCTGCCTCTGACTCCACTGATGCTGTCAACTCGAACACTGATAACTGCACACGGCGATTCTACAACCACAGGTCAAAGGTCAAAACATTACCTTCACTCTGAACTGTACCGGCCTCTGCTTTTGGTTTTGAAAAAATGTGCCCAGACAGAACACAGTACTCACTTGAGGAACTGACTGATTGTCTTCAGGACAGGACAACTTTTACTCTTATATTGTTTTGAATCCTGTTTTCTATATTAAGTGATCGGTTGTCGATATCTGTTAATATTTTAAGTTTCCTTTATGTTTCTTGGACTTTATTTGTTCTATTTTATTTGAGTATTGTCTTTCCCTTTTACTGTGTATCTGTCCTTATATCAAAACATGACCAACACTGATGAAGGGAAAAAATACCACTTACTTCAGTTGTTGCAGGCAGCTGAATTTCTCATTTTAATATGCTCACCATATCCCTCAAATTTACCTACAAGAGAAGACGTGGTTTTAGAAATAAATGATTTACTTGGGGTTTCAGCTGGTAGGTACACTGCAGGTTTTTCACGTGTGCTTAGTCTTGGGCTAATGTCTTGAACAGCAGTGATCCCAGCATTACAGTGTGAAACAATCCCTGCTGAAGGTTGTCGTCACAATCATCAAACACAGGGCTTGGTTAAACGAGCTGTGTGAATGGATTTCATAGAGGAACAAAGTTTTTATGCTTATCCTTAAAATGTAATTCTCCATAGTAGATAACTTTTTAAAAAGAAACTATCAACATGAAGACAACCCAGCATTTCAGTAACACAAGTAGTGTGAATGTTTGGATAAGAAAACACTGGGATCTAAAATGCTGACCACATTGTCAGTCCACTGCAATGAGCTGATGACAGTACTAGCCTTGGTCTAACTACTGTGAAAAGCCTTTTGGGTGGTAAGGTGGAGCAATACATGCTATAAAACATACTTCAGTGCCATATTTAAGTTGTTAACCTTTCACCTTTGCCTGTATATTTCCGTACGCCTGAATGACTTTGCATCTTTTGCATTTGCATTGTTTACCTTACCCTCCACATTATATTTAATTTTTCATTTAGATTTAATTGAAAAACAATTATTTTAATTTCTGTAAAATACCTCTGTACTACGCTGTACAGTAAACTGCTGAGTTATTTTTCCAAACAAAAGTGCTGACCAGATTGTCAGTCCACTACAATGAGCTGATGACAGTATTAGCCTTGGTCTACTGTGAAAAGCCTTTTGGTGGTAAGGTGGACCAATACATTACATCAATTTATTTCAAGTTCTCAGATCTACTTTTTAATCTGATTATTTTAGATTTTGTTTAAAGTTTCAGTTTCACATCATTTAATTTTATTTATTATTATAATTATTTATTATTCGATAATTTTCTTTTTTTTCTACATGAGAGGGCCCACATTTCACTGCAGTTAGCTTTAAAAAATACTATAATGCCATATTTAATTCAAAAGCCTTTCACCTTACTTTGCCTGTATATTTGCACAAGCCTGGATAACTTTTCATTATTTCCATTTGCATTCTTTACCTTACCCTTCACATTATTTTACATTTTTATTCACATTTCATTTCTTTTTTAAATTTTAACTTCTCTGAAACAATTCTGTACTACACTTTACAGTAAACTGCTGGGTTATTTTTGCATACTATTCCTCATGTTCCATTCTATACTTTTTGTGATTCACATTTATGTTGTTATACTGCTGACCGATTGTAATAACTACTTTTTTTTATAACTCTCAAGTCACCACTTTCATATATCTTTTTTAATGTATAGGTGCAAACCTAGTGTGTGCAATGTGCAAACTTAGTCTTAGGCTAATCTAAACCCTTAAAAACACGCATAACAGTCCTGTATCAGACTGTGAAATCAAATGTCAAGGTCTGTTTTTAAAGCCCACAACACAGGACTTGGCTTAATGGGCCATGACAAATTTTATGAGCCAACTTTTGTTAAGGCTTAGTAATCTGAAAACACAAGAAAAGAGGTGAATGTGGGTACAGGGCTGCTGGAGTTTGAATCCACTAAATAATGGGCTGTTAGCCTCAGTCTAACAACTGTGTGAAGAGCCTTTAATGATTGGGCTAAACAATTTTACAAACAACTGAAATTGTGATAACTTTATCCATCAACAATCACAGCAACAACAATCTTAAAACCTTAAGCTTAAGAGACAGATTGGTCACCCATGTAAAGATTTCTGCTTCCAAAACCTCTTCACAAACAAATTGTTTATAATTTCATTTAAGCCACTATGGAACACTGTTTCTTTGTGTGTTTATGTTTTCATGTTTTTTGTTTTTGTTTTTAATGTTTTATGATTTATCATTTCATTGCTCACAAAATGTTAAAGGATTGACAAAAATATTTTCTTTTTTTCTTTCTTTTGGTTTTACTTATGTAAAAACTCAGTTTGAATTTTTTAACTTGATGCTAATTTTACATTAAATATATTTCTGTAATGTGTTTATGTCTCATCTACATTCATTTCTACTTCTACCAACATGAAGGCCTTTTCAGCCATCTTTAAAATTATTTACCATATTTTCTGTAGTCTTCAAGTTCAGTTCTTTAGCAATTGGAATATTCATACAGCTTTTGGTTTACCTCTCCCAGTGTTTTTACATCCATACAACTCATCTCTTTTTCATCATCTTCTTCAGTTGTGTTACGGTTTAAACATTCATACAATTTGTACTTATTACACTTCACCCCTTTAACAGTTGTTTCATATATACTCTCCTCCATTTTTTTCACAGTTTTGCATGCTTGGCTTGTCAGTTTTCAGCACTCTGCATTTCCACGCATTTTCTGCACGGAAATGCAATTTTTCTGGAATTTACGTTGATAGTCTTTCACCGTTTCGTAGTGAAGCGTTCAGGGCATCCTCAGATAAAAGAATGCTGTATTGGACCCGCAGATGTTCACAGAGCCTCATACTGGAAAGCATGTAAAACATAGGAGGACTTTAACACCAATATTTGTGCAGTCAGTACTTTCAAGGCATATCGTAGCTATTGTTTTTTATTACCATTTGTTATTGTTAAAACAAACACAAAAAATACAAATCTGCAACTTCACTTATAATTATTTATATGACCAATTTAATTACAAATGCTCTCATAATTACCGCATATCCACCATACAAAGTAACCCCTAAACTGCCCGGTGCGCGCCGCAAAAATCTCCCGAAATGTATGACCCAAATGTTCCCAGGCATGCAGTAATTACCTTCTAACACTAAGGACTGGTACACCATTTCCGATGCCAAATCTACCCTAGCAACAAATTGATAAAAACGTCACTGTTGGCAGTAAGCCAATCCCGTGCGTCATCATCATATTATTAAAGTTCTCACTACCGCGAAAAACGCCAACAACGACCTACATTTTCTGGAGCCTTCGCGACAGACACAGATAACGCTGACCACTCAAGTAAGTAAAACAAGTTAAACTAACTTTAAACCGTCTTCCTCTAGCTCTGAAATTATATTTTCTCTATTCTTCTCCTCTTCACTGTTTGCTCACATGTAAAAATTGATATGCAAAGGCTACCAAATTACAAATACCGTGTATAGCTCAGGCGGACGATGCTACCATTACTTATACAGTATCTGTTAATTACTTACTTCTCATCATTCAATGTGTTTATGTTTACATTCCTTATTTTACATAAAGCATGTCTACAGACCATATTTTCACTTCTCCAGCTTCCACTTGTATAGTGAGCAATGTGTCACTAATGGACCAATTGGTACATATATCTGCCAAACTGTATATAAGTATTTCCATACGGTGTCATAACAACATTTTGCCGACGGTAACTCTGCTCATACTTACTTCGCCTCATTCTTTATTTGACCCTAACCTGAATTATACACATCCCGACTGCCAGTCTTTTAATAACAATAACGACACTAATAAACACAACCACCGAGGACGCCCACAAGGTCTGTCGCGACTGTTACACACAATTCCCAAGCGGATCCAGGGATATTTTTACATCGTCTTACATCTATCCACAACTTCAACAAAATTAGACTTTTTTATCCAAGTCATACTCTAAGCACGCACTCTACGACTTCACAACATAAACTCTGCCACTCATCCTTCTAATGGCTTTTTCATCCTCTCAACACGTCTTCACTTACTACTTTGGATTTCACTTTCTCATTGACTCACAATTGCCATCTACAGGTGTAAACAACACACAACATGCAGCTGCACACTGACTGACCACAGTATAACTCACGTCCTCCATTTCATGTTTTATTACATACCATCATATTCATACAATACCAATATCTCCTATTGCCGTAACTGCCACTTCACACAAATATGCTTCTAATTCAATAATTACCAATATTTCCTCTTTTCTCTTTCCAGAATGGCACTTCGCAAACTGTTGGGAAGCAAACCCGAAACACCATATGCCAAACTCCCACCACTACATGTTGTTGTGTTAAAACTAAAAGATGCACCAAAAGTTGTGGCATGGGATTTTAAAGACACACATGTCACCCCCACTTGCACCAAACAAAACAAAATTGCCGTCCTTAGTGATGGTCATTCACTTACAAAAATCACTTTGTATGAAGCAATGGCTTCAAAAGTGCAAGAAGGTCACAGCTACTTCATGCGCGGCTGGACTGTTACAGGGAGCTCTGCTCCATATACTTTAGCTGTTGGCACAGCTACACAGTTCTTTAGAGGCTCTGATATATACTGCTCTGAAGACTTACACAACAGAGCTGAAACCTTACTGGACCCGTCTACTCCTTTAGTTGACCTTCGCCACTGCCAACAACAGCAGGGTCTGATGTCTGTTCAGGGAGAAGTTGCTGAGGTCAGTAGAATGTTTTACAATACAGTTTTGTTTTTTTTTCACATTACAAACATCACACATTATGACAATATTTTTACATTTCCCAATTCTTATTCTCTAAATACAGAACTTTTCTTTTTTAGGTGTCATCTATTCGGAAAGTGCAGTCGGGAAGAGATGCTGTACCTGTGAAGAGCATTGTTCTGCAGCAGGTAATCTCTGATACATTATTTTTGTAACATTTCCAATCTCACATGGTATACATCAGACAATCACGTATTACATTCACAAAGACACACACTCTTAATATAACACATACTCTTCAAATAACTATGTCTGTGCTTACTAATGCTTTGGTCATTTATGACTACTGACAAAACAATAATTCAGTTCACACAAGGGTGTCTTTAACCTTTGTTTGTCACTGTACAATAATGACCATGTCAATTTCACTTATGATAATTACTCCACAATCTACATTATGTAATTATACATATTCACAGACAGTTCATATTACAATTTCTACATCCATTCACATATATTTCATTTACTTTAACACCATATCTCTAATCTGGGTCTTTTGCTTATATAACACAACTACCAAACTGCTTTTGCTGGTGTCACTTGTGCTTTTATTACAAATGATAACATATGCTCTTACATTTTACAGGACAACATTAAGGTCACATTGTCACTGTGGAGGGAGGCTGCAATGCAACCTATAAATGTGGGAGAAGTGCTCGAAGTCAGCCATGTCAAGGGACGCACAACTCAATATGGCATTCAAATGGGAACAACCAACTTCACCAGAATTCAGGTACTTACTAGTTGCCTTGTATTTCACTTCAATCACCTCCATGACATTTATATCCTCACTAATCATCATTGAGATCCTCTAAACCAGTGGTTCCCAACCTTTTCTGTATCACGGACCACTTTCATGCAGTACACTTTTTCGAAGGATCAGGTAGGTGTCTGGAGGTTCCAATAACAACAACCTTAATCAGTACATAGTATGTACATACTACAACAATTGAATACAACAATCTGAATACAACAATTACATTTTATATTACGCACTTTCATTACACTTTAACATCAACTCACCATAATGCAGAATCAACCCTTTCTCTCTCCAGTGAACTCTGTTTCTGCCTCATTTTTGCAAGGGCTACGTTGTGTTACTAATGCAAAAAAATTACATTCCCAAGACTCAAGCGCAAAAATTAGGTGATCCGAACTGGTGCTCTTACAAAATAAGATACTAACATTTACTAACATACAGTATTCTAACATACTGATTGATTCACATACTGGTACTGGTCTGGGGCCCAGTGGTTGGACACCTCTGCTCTAATCCATTATATACCTTATCAAACACATTGAAATTCTCATTCATATACAACTAACATATACAACATACACACAATAATCTCATTTCAGCCAAGCTCATGTCAAACTCTCATAATCCCACAAAAAAAAACAACTTTGACACCTTATTACTTCCATAGTCCTATTTATTTGTACTTAATTCTTTTACTTGTTTCATGTTCTTAGCCAGTGTACTGTATGTTATTATACTGTTTCTTTCTCCAATTCAGTACAAGTACTAACAGTTCCTCAGGCCAATGACACTTTACACTAAACTATATTCACACTTTCCAAATGCCAAACACACATAAACCTAATCATCATACTCTTTCCCTATGTTTTCTACACTTCTCCACAGAAACAGCAAACTCTACAACAATTAACCATCCTTGGTGTCCTCACAAAAGACGATGTTCCATCATGCAGCACTACTCCTGCTGACACCATCATAGAGGTACTGCTGGTCACTGGAAGCACTCTCCAAATCCCTGAAACTTTGTGGGACCCTGCCTTTGATGACCTCATCCTCCAAGCGCCACTTAATGTTACCGCTAAGGTTGAAGGTAAACTCATCACCTCTATCAAACTAATATAAATGTTTATTCACAAACTGTACAAAGTTCTACAATTCACACACAGACACACACACCACTAATATAACAACAAACACAATCACTCCTTCCACAACATACCCCACACTTAATACATATTCTGTTATAGCTTTTGATTTTGTAAATAGTTCTTCCACAAACACACAAATACACACACACACATTCTGTTTTGAAAAATAGTTCCGTTTCTACTTGTTCCTTCTTTGACTATATTCCACAATAAAGGATTGTTCAACAAATACGCTGTTCTCTGTACCTTGTTTTCTTTCTACTAAGCTTAACTACCATATCACTATTACTTTACAAATGGTTCTATTACATTCTTACTTCTTAATAACACACAACACTTTCTGCTGTATATAGGCTGTATTGGGACAGAGGAAAAAGTGCTTAGAAAGTCAATCTCCTTCCACTTCAGTGGGGCAACATAAACTGTGATTCATAAAACAGCTCTATTAATAGTGAGTACTAAAAAAATATATCTACTCATGCCATCCTGTCGATTTTTAGTAATCAGTGTTTCGGTGTGGAACTATTTCCCTTCTGCGGCGTAGTGATACTTGCACACGCGCAATCGAATATGCAGGGGGTGAAGCCATTTTTGTCATGTGGACCGATAGGAGCCGAGTCTCGTTGCCATAGTATCACAAATACACAAACATGGCGACGACCGCATCTCACAGCGAGACAAGCGAAGAGGAAGAAAAGAAAAGGAACAAAAGAAAACAGCCTTCAAAAGTGCATAAAAAGGAGCGAAACGATGTTATATGCATCTGTCATCTGTCCAGAGTGAAGACGTTCTCGACTTTACAAGGTCATGTTGGTAAACTTACAGAACTAGTATTGGAAAGTGTCTTTCTCTACAGGGTGAGACAAAGGACCTTGCAGAAACGTATAAACTTTTATAAAGTATTTTAACGAAATTCACTTTCTAGGCACTTTTTCCTTTGTCCCAATACAGCTTATGACCTCGACCGAAGTTTCTTTCGCGGAGTTTCAGATGCCGTGGACGTGGATGCATGCTGCGTTAAGGGTTTGACTGACCCGTGGCTGCATCACGTTCTTGTTTATCAAACCCCTTTTGCAAAAAAATCACTGGTAGCATGTCATGTGAAACCCAGCCTCATCAGAACATTGTCAAAGTCCATATCAACCCAAAGTTTATACGTTTCTGCAAGGTCCTTTGTCTCACCCTATAGAGAAAGCCACTTTCCAATACTAGTTCTACAAGTTTCCCAACGTGTCCTTGTAAAGTCGAGAACGTCTTCACTCTGGACAGATGACAGATGCAGATAGCATCGTTTCGTTCCATTTTTATGCACTTCTGAAGGCTGTTTTCTTTTGTTCCTTTTCTTTTCTTCCTCTTCGCTTGTCTCGCTGCGAGATGCGGTCGTCGCCATGTTTGTGTATTTCTGATACTATGGCAACGACACTCGGCTCCTATTCCACGTGACAAAAATCGCTTCACCCCCTGCATATTCGATTGCGCGTGTGCAAGTATCACTACGCCGCAGAAGGGAAATAGTTCCACACCGAAACACTGATTACTAAAAATCGACAGGATGGCATGAGTAGATATATTTTTTTAATACTCACTATCAATAGAGCTATTTTATGAATCACAGTTTATGTTGCCCCACTGAAGTGGAAGGAGATTCACTATATATATTGCACTTTTCAACACTTTTGAGCCTGATCTGTCTCCATACACTAGATGGTGCTATTCTCCATTCTGAAGTTACTATGGTTGGATGCTGCAGACTGCACACGTGTTTTGTCATTTCTACATTTAATTGAAACATTGTTTCACATTAATTAAGGCATTTCTTTTTCAAAATCACTTATACTGATTATAATTTCTGTGAACTCACAAAAGTCATATAATTAGTTTTTACTTTGTCTATCATACAATTTGTACATTCATTCAACTTTTTTACCTTGAGCTACAGTACAATTTTTACATTAATACTGTTTCTTCTTCTTCTACTGCACCTTTTCAACAGTTTTTCCATTCATAACTTCCTCTATTTTTTATTGGCAGTTTACCATTGCTTTTTCAGCTTTCAGCACTCAGCATTTCCACGCATTTTCTGCAAGGAAATGCAACTTTTCTAGTTAAGTGGAAATGCTGATTAAGCATTTCCACTTATTGTTATTCTCCCATTTCTTTATTATTAAACTTATTATTCTTCCGTCCCTTTTTTGGACCGCTTCTCCTCCTTCAAACTTTGTCCGATTTCAACCGTTCAAACTTTAAACTATTCCACTCCTTCAGGACATTATGGCTATTACTTTTCACTTTTCTACCCTTAATACTTTTTGATTTTTTTAACTTTTTGTGCAAAAATTTTAACATTGAAGTCAATGGGGAAATCTTCAACTTCTTCCTTTCATTCTTCCACCTTCTAGACCTTATAACTTCAGCATACTTTCACCTAGAGACCTCATTTTTGCTTTAAAATGTTCATTGTCTTGTCGACTATTGATGTTGTATTAACCTTTTTGTGCTATCTTTTACAGTTTTTCCACAATTTAGCTTTAAGCAAATTGTGGTTTTCAGCAAATTTCAGGTTTTATAATGGGGGTGAATTGGAGAGGCTAGAGTGAGGATTTGAAAAGCTAGAGTGCAGACCTCGTCTCTGATCGACAGAACCTCGCTCGAATATATCGCTCCCACGCCCACAAATCTCACTCCAGAGCCATAAATAATACATCAAAATGGAGGTATATGTGTCCTGCTTCTCACAAAATAGGTTTCAAATCATTAAATCGTACCCCTTGGCCAGCAGGTGACCAACTGTCCAAATAGGCGGAAATCTCTCCCCATTGACCATCATGTATTTTTTCTCCAAGAAAATCCTTATCGCCACTCAGGCTCAGACTTTTTTAACTCGCTGTTGTGGCCACATTTTTCGGAGTACAGACATGAAAAACACATCATTGTGTTCATGAAGGGCGGAGGATTCGTACGATGTTCTTATTTTCATTCTGGGATTTAAGGAAATCGTGCTATGTGAAGAAGTTCAGAGCCCTATATTCACTGCAGTTCAGCAGCTTCTCAATTCAAACAGCAGGTCAGTTAATGCCTTTGATCTCACAGCTGTTTAGGATGCAATCATTAACGACACACACACACACACACAGTGTGTGTGCGTCAGCCTCTTTCTCTCTATGAGACCTTCATGTACACACAGTAAATATGTGCATGCATGAGTCTCTCTCTGTTTATGAGACCTGAACACACTTTGACCATGTGTCTGCTTCATCACCTATCTTCTCTCGCAAACTTTGAGATACAGAGACATTTAGGGCTTCAAAAATTCAGCTCATTGGGGACATTATGGAGTCTACAGAGGATTTCTATTCATTTAAATTGTCCTTCATTTAAAAACATCCTCATTATTTATGCATTATTCAATTCTTCTAACAAATTGAAACTCATTCTTATTCAAACCTCTGATTCTTCAAACCTTTCTAATACTTTAGGATTTTTTATTAGTTATATTTTCCCCACTTTAAATCATTTTTACTATTCATGCATATTTCAATTCTTCAAACAAAATCCCACTTCCACTTCTACAACTACTACTTATATCACTTCTACTTCAACTAGTCTTGCTACTATTAGTACTAGAAAACAATTAAAATGAATTGATTGAACCACTGCCTTTCCGTCGTGTGAAGTCTGACATTTCCGAGTGTCCCTGAACGCCTCAAACATTAATACCGTGACCCACTGGTGGCTCGCGCTATCCTTCTCCGACATCAACGAAGGTGAGTCAGAGCACAGTCTCTCTAACTTCTGAACACGACAAACGGTGATTTAACGTTTCAAATGGCACTGGTTTCAGTTATAATCAATGAAGATTTCACTCATGATTGAAGTGGTCGAGATAATGAGTTGAAAAAGCGTACGCTAACGCTGTTAGCGTCGAATTAGCGGCGCTAGCGTCGAGCTAACGTCGCTAGCGTCGAGTTAGCGCCGCTAACGTCGCTAGCGTCGAGTTAGCGCCGCTAGCGTCGAGCTAGCGCCGCTAGCGTCGGGCTAACGTTAAAGCTAACATACCTTCAGCTGTGAGGCTGAATCATTAACCAGCTGAGCACAAAATAAAGTGAATACATAAGCCGCTGCGGTACTATAAAGCATGCCAAATGATGTACAGGCTGTGGAGTTTACTGACAATGGGACTGACAAGAATACTCATAATTTCAAGTATTAACTGACTAACTAGCTAACTAATGACGCTAGCGCCATTGCTACAGGTTCAGTTCATTACTATGACTGAGTCATTGCTGGGGAACTGGTCTGGAGACGTCAGCTGTTTAGCTCCTGGTCACTTTTTTCAGCCATTGTAGATGTATTAAAATATAGGCTGCATTTAGCAAGCATCCAGGTATAGCACAAATGTGAGTGGTTTTCCTTTTTTATGTGTCAGAATGGACCTAGATGGTCCTCTATTATTGAAGGTTTTATTCATGATGGGGATGATAGAGATATTTACATTGCAAAACATAAAATTCATTCAGTATTTAATGTTTAACAATACCAAGTTCCAATTAATAAGTATATTCCAGTTGAATTTCTTTTTAGGGATCTATAAAGTTCTTATCTTAATATTGAGTTAATGGATGGAGAGTAAGCTGCCTTGAAGTTGGTGAACCTGCTCCTGGTCTGTCTCTGTCTTGCTGGCTGCTACTGAACTTCTCCTTTTACTGTACCTAATTTACTTTTGATAGCAAGCTGTTAATTTGGATATTGGTGATGTGCTAACACCACAGCAAAGATTCTTTATCTGAGGTATAAGTACTTTAATACAGTATGTATTATGTGTGACATTTTCAGCTGCAGCTAAGAGCCAGGTGATCAGTTTGAGCTGTTTAGTTTTCAATTAGCCCAACTACTGTAATAATGTTAGTTTTCTTTATAGGCCTATTGTTTTTAATGTGCTATCTGTCAGAAAACACTAATGTATTGCTTCTTGTCTCAAACAAACAGAAGATACATCCGCTCCAGTGCATTTGTTGGTAAGTATAAGTGTTTTGACCAGGACTGACAACAAACAAAATAAGAATAACTGGATTAATGTACATATGATGCATTTTTCAAATACTGACTTTAAATTGATTTGAACTGTTGATTTATCTGTAACACTGTTGTATATCCTATATGAAAATCATAGATGGGATACAGTTTTTTCCTAGAAGACAATAGTGTGCTACTACACTACTAAATTAATTTATTTAAAAAATTGCTGGCGAAAGTCTGAATCTTGATTGTGACAATAATTAAGTGAGAAAATCATTCAGATAAATTTTGAATGAAGTTTTTTTTAGTGTATTAAAAATCTCTTTCCCTCTCTCTCCCCCTCCTCCTGCCTCAACTTGTCCTCTGACCTGGGCGAAAATCCCTACCAACTCTGAAGTGTAAGTTCATGCTTACAGTCGGGTCCAAAAATATTGGGACATCAGCATAATACTCATCTCTCTGGCTGTAAACACCACCACAGTTGACTTTAAATGAAATAAACAAGATGTGCTTTGACTGCAGACATTCAGCTTTAATATATGGTTATTTACATCCACATTAGGTGAAAGGTGTAGGAATTAAAACAGTTTGTATATGTGCCTCTCACTTTTTAAGAGACCAAAAGTATTGGGACAAATCAAAAATCATACATCAAACTTTCACTGTGCAATATATGGTTGCAAATCCTTTGCTGTCTAGGACAGATAGATACACCAGACGCTGGGTTTCACCCCTAGTGTTGCTCTGCCAGGTCTCTACTGCAACTGTCTTCAGTTCTTGCTTGTTCTTGGTGCATTTTCTCTTTAGTTTTGTCCTCAGCAAGTGAAATGCACGCTTTAATTTATATATATATATATATATATATATATATATATATATATATATACTTATTGGGCAATCACTTAAATGTTACATTTTTGCTCTGCAGTTTATAATTATATTTCACTGTTTTGTATTTCACCTCAATAACTTGCATAAGAAAGCAAAAAGTGAAGAGGTCCTTCAATGTGTTTGTGCATTTTCTCTCCATTTTAACAAACATTTTTTACAGGCCAAGGGAGCTGCAGTAACATCCTTTTACTAATCAAGTGCCACAAATTGTAGACTTTGATAAGAAATGAGAAAACTAAGGATCCACAGTGAAAAGTTGTGATTGCAGTAAACTATAAGATGCTGATTTCTTTGCAACTAAATTTATTTATTTTTTGTCCCTGTCTTTTCTCTCCTGAACTCGATGCTATCTCTACTGCTGGCCCTATTCACTGTTGGCGACTCAGCTGTAAGTTCACAAATAAAGTAATTTAAAAATGTTTCCACTGTTACATTTTTAAACATATCATGTAAAAACCTGACATTATGTCCTTATTTGACAAACTGCAACACATTTCCATTGTAACACAAACAATTTTAAATAACACTTAATCAATTTTGCCGGCTGATTACAGTTGAAACTGAAATGCAGTGAGATGTGCTGGTTTTCTACAATTAAACTAAAATCTCTTGTCTCTATTTTTCCATTTTCCTTTTTGCCAACTCTGTCCTGTCTCCAAGTGCAGACCGCTTTGTGGCGACTCGACGTAAGTTCACACAGGAATGACACTTTCATGAATAAGACAGTGTGCCATTATTCAACACTTTATGGACCCCTCATCATGTCCTAACTTAACAATTTGTTTCCTTTGATTATGTAATACTCACAGTTGGAAATGAACAGCTTGAATGTAATATGCAGTACACTTATTTGCATTTCATTTCCAATCCCTGGAAAGCAATTTATTACTATTAGATTGTGGAGTTGGAATTTTTTAACGATGAAAATCCAAATAATTACTAATTGAATGTGATTCCCTCCTTTGTACATCTCTCATATTTAAAAAAACAAGCAAATTTAATGTTCTTTAATATGGAATAGACAATCATTATTTATGCAGCCATTGATTTATTTTATTATTTATTTAATCCTATGTTTAGATATGTGTATATCCTTCTAAGGTACCTTGCATGCTTCTGTTTACAGCTCATGGAGGTGCTTGGCCTCATTACTACTTTTTACATTGTTGGAATACTTAAAACACAGTAAAGGAAATTACCTTCTCCAAAATACATAATATTTTATCAGCAGAGTAATCCATTGTTACTTTTGCTTACCAGGACATGGTTATGAACATTATAAAGGGAACTTAAAGTACTTAAAGAGTCTAAAATACACAGGGATAATAGAACTTTTTGTAAAATACTTTGAGGTCCTAAATTTAAAAAGGTGGCTCTGTGGTTGGATTCAAGTTTGACTCACTGGAGGATGTGGTGGAGAGATGTACTGTGAGGAAGGTGGAGGCTATTCTAGAGAACATGGCTCACCCACTTCACAACACCTTGGTGGACCGAAAGGCCTATGGTGGTGGACGGCTCCTCTGTCTTCGCTGCAGGGAAAAAAGATTCAAAAGATCTTTTGTACCCACAGCCATGAGACTCTACAATTTAAATAGTAGATGACTTATACAGACGTGACAAATGAGACTATAGACAATTGAATTTCCCTTAGGGGATAAATAAAGTTCTTCGTATCTTAAATTAATTTTTGATCAACTATAATGAACACTTTGGATTTTTAGTCCTTATTTGTTTGAAGGGTTATCGAACAAGACAATGGTCACTTCCAGCTTTTGACTCAACTTGACTTTTGAAAGATGTATAATTGAGGACAGCCACTTGATGGGTTGAGTAAAAGTACATTATGATGCCATTAGCTTTGGGTGGATGTTGGTTTATTTTATTTTATTTCTTTAATAAAAAGGGATTAATGTTTGTTTCCATTTTGTCTTACAGGTATCCTGTCCAGTCTCCCCACTCTCCCCTATCATTTTGATCGCTCTGTCTTTCCTGTCTCCTCTACCACTCTGTCTGATTGAAAAGCACTCTGTCTTGTGTCCCCCTTTCTTCTATCCCTCTGGCTAAGTTTTGGACGCTCTGTCTTTCCTGTCTCCTCTACCACTCTGTCTGATTGAAAAGCAACTCTGTCTTTCTATCCCCCTTCTATCCCACTCTGACTCATTGCAGAACTTTTCAGAACTTTGCAGAACTTTTCAGAACATTTCAGAACTTTGCAGAACTTTTCAGAACTTTGCAGAACTTTGCAGAACTTTGCAGAACTTTGCAGAACATTTGAGAACCTATTTTGAGAACCTATTTTGAGAACCTATTTTGAGAAACCTTTTGAAACAAGCAACCTTTCTTTGAGTCAAAACTTTTGAAACGGAAGTACATTTAATACAACCGCTATTTTGAAAAATCCCTAATTTTGCACAAGTCTGATTGTTGTTCTAGGTCCTCCTCTCCTGTCTGTGAATCCAGAGTTTCGCCAGAAGACGTGTCATCAGCTACACCACATCTGCATACCTGACTTTGAAAGAACATAAAAACACGTTTTATATAGAATATTTGAGTTGCATAGTATTTCAAACACAAAGTTCTAAGATTAAAAAATTGTTGATTTGTGTTTTTTCTTCAAACATTTACATAGTCTTGCCTAGGATTTCCTTAGAAAACATTTGATAAACTATTGTTGGTATACACACAGTTATAAATTAGATTTTTTGGAGACTATAAGAGCTGTAAATAACGTCCTCTTGAAGAAATAAAGCATTTTTGTCTATACTGGTGCTTATCAGTAACTTTTAATTGTTGCATAAACACATTTTTGTGAAAGAACAGTTACAATGCCAAGGAAGAGTAAGAGGTCACAGGTTGCAAGCCAGCGCTGGCAGAGGTTTCATGACATTGACTTTGTGAGTACTGGACAAGCAGATGGTATTCCTCAGAGCAGTGGAGAGGTAAAGAGGTCTGAAGTGTCTGATGCTGTGAAACAGGGAGGTGAAAATGCATCATGTCAACCACAGGTATCTTATGCAGACGTGCTTAAGAGGAGACGTGTAAGTGAGTCACCTGCAGCAGGTCCTTCTAACTCTCATCAGGTGAACTACATAGCCCAAACTGAAAAGCCATGCTCAACCCAGGTATCACGTGCAGACACTGTTAAGAAGGGAAACCACAGTAATTATCAGTCTGTATCAGGCTCTTCTCAGGTAAGAAATGAGAACGCTGTTAATCAGTCAGGTGAACAAAACGTCTGTGCGTCACGCAGCCAAGCATCTCTGAAATACGGCCAATCCAGGAACCAGCAGTGCACCTGTAACTCACTGACATTTCTAGCATTCCTGTATGAGAGAGAACACATCACCAGAGCAGATCTGGACCGTGTTTTGGATAAAGGTGATGTGATGTACAGAAAAGTCAGAAAAACTGTTTATCACAGCCATCTGACAACCGATGAGCTCCCTAAACAGGTTCCTGCACGCAGACACACGCAGATTTTTGACAAGTCACAGCTGTCTAGATACGGTACGTTTGGAGATCCGGATCCCGGTGCTGTTGATACCTTTCTGGACCTCGTTTCAGGACTGAGCTGCTTATTATCAGATGTGCAGTATGCTTTGCTGCTAATGACTTCACTGTGCATTGCAGTTTTCAGAACCAGAGATGGCAGGTACGGTTTCTTTGACCCACATGCTAGGACAGCTAACGGTTTGCCTCTGCTTAAAGCCACACCTACTCCTGGTACCGCTGTCATGGTAACATTCACACGCCTTAGTGACATGATTGCCAGGCTCATCAGGTATCACCACATATTGGGCACAGCAGCGTCCTGTCGCTATGAGCTCAAGCCAGTTGTGTTCGGTGATGTGAACCCAAGTGATGCTATCCCAGCCACAGAAAGTCCGTCCACAAGTCCCTCTGTAACAACCACTGTGATAAATGATGACACAAGTGCTCCACAGATGAACACTGATGTCCATGAAAACACTGAATGCGACATGGAAACTGAACCAGAACCACTGATCGACTTCAGCCAGTGTTCTGTCACATTAACTGGTCCTGAATCTCTCGTTCTGGAGATGAACACTACTGTAAGTGATGACACATCACAGAAAGTCTCAACTTTGATGGAAACACAAGCTCATCAACCAGGTCAAATCAGCATGAATTCTGTCAAAGAGGAAACTCAGGAGACACAATCAAATTTGACACAACCATTTATAACTATCCCTGTCACCAGTGATAATGTCCTCCATGACATTTCTAGTAAACTGTCAAAATTGAACAAACAGCAAAAAAAGAAATTTAAGAGGAGACTAATGAGATCTGGAAAGACATCTCAAAAGAAAGAGAATCAAAAAAGGAGAGAGAGAGAAAAGTATGCTAAGAATGAAACATATAAAGCAAAGAAAAAGTCTTATTCAAGTAACAAATATTCTGTAAATCCTGAGATACAGACAAAGAAAAGACAAAAGATCACATCTAAATATAGAGAAAGCACAGACTACAGACTGAAACAAAAAGAATATATCACACGAAAATACAGGGAAAATGTTGATTTTAAAGGCAGACAAAAGTTATATTTCAGGAAAAAATATGGAGAAAATATTGATTTTAGAGGCAGACGAAAAGAATATTTCACGAAAAAATACAGAGAAAATGTTGATTTCAAAGGCAGACAAAAAGAATATATCAGGAAAAAATACTCTGAGGATGTTAATTTCCGGCAAAGACAGCGATCATATATCAATCATCGATATGCAAATGATGAAATATTCCGTAACCGACACAGACAGCTGATGAGACAAATGATGCGAGACAGGTACAAGACAAATCTTGCATACAGAACTATGCATAAAATGAGGTGTGCATTGAAAATATCAAAGAAATACAAAGGAATAAGTAAACAAACATGTGAGACTGACAGAGAGAGTGAAAACCCACTTATTGAAAGTGCCATAAATGATTTCCGATCACACATTAAAGCTGGTCCCACCCATGTTTGCACAGTTTGCCACAAAGCCTCATTTCCAAACCAGGTGCAAAAGTGCAAGAGGTCCAACTATGTGAAAAATCCAATCATGGTTTCAGCTTGTCTCAAAGGTCAGTACGTCCATGATTGTAACGATGACTGCAGAAATCACTGCACTGTCCCTGATGAGAGAAAGACTGAGTGGATTTGTCACACCTGCCATGACCATCTGAAAAATGGAGCCATGCCCAAACTTGCCATAGCAAACAACTTGGAGCTTGCTGACATACCACCTGAGCTGTGTGACCTCAACATACTGGAGAGACATCTGATAGCAAAGTGCATAACATTTGCCAAAATCATTCCTCTTCCCAAAGGCAGACAGCGAGCTATACATGGTAATGTTGTATGTGTTCCCTCTGAAGTCCAGGAAACAATTCAGGCTCTACCCAGATTGAGAAATGAGTCTCAGGTGATGAGAGTAAAACTGAAGAGACGCTTGAGTTACAGAGGTCACCATCTGTTTCAGACTGTTACCTGGTCCAAGCTAGTACAGGCCCTGCATACACTGAAAGAGATACACCCCCAATATGAAGACATCACTATTAGAGATGAGGAGGAGTTATGTGACCCCACACTTCCTGATGATGGTGATGAGGATGAGGATGATGATGATAACACAATGAATGATGATGACTATGATGATGAGGATTTGATGGAGATTGATAGAATTGAGGCTGCTGCCATGTATGAGGCTGAAACTAATGCTGAAACTGAGGACGACAACACAGAGCTGTGTGATAAAAGTCAGACCCAGGACAATGATGATCAGACACAACAACAGGATTCAGACGTGCATAATGGTGGTGTTGTTTTGGAGTCGTGCCTTCAGCCACGTGATGTTTCTGAGGAGATATTGTGTTTCAGTGACTCTACATACTCAGTAGCTCCAGCAGAGAGAAACAATCCAGTCAGTTTTTTCAAAACACCCAAACTAGAGGCCATGGCGTTTCCTGTTCAGTTTCCCACTGGTGAGAATACACTGGATGAAAACAGACCAATGAAACTATCACCCAGTAGTTATTTTAAAGCAAGGCTCTTTGGTGTTGATGATCGCTTTGCCAGAGATACCAACTACCTGTTCTTTGCACAGTTTGTGACCGAAATACACTTGGCTACCTCCAGCATGTCCATACAGTTACGCAAAGGCAAACCTTTGACCAGAGACGGACGTAAAATAACATCCAGAATGTTGAGAGACAAATACGAAGTGGAGAGACTGGTGAGAAACAGAGATGCTATCAGATTTATGCAGCCGCTCAGAGGAACACCAGCCTACTGGGACAAAACTACAAAAGATCTGTTTGCTATGATCAGACAGTTGGGCAGTCCTACTTTCTTTGTCACATTTTCTGCAGCAGAAATGCGTTGGCCTGAGGTGATTATTGCAATAAAATCACAACAAGGTGAGGAAGTGAATTTTGAAGAGCTCGACTGGTCCACAAAGTGTGACATTCTGAGAAGCAATCCTGTGACAACGATGCGCATGTTTGATAAGCGTGTTGAAGCACTGTACAGAGATCTGATCATGTCTCCTGCACAACCCCTGGGCAAAGTTTTTGACTTCTTTTGGCGTCTCGAGTTTCAACACAGAGGAAGTCCTCATATACATGGTCTTTTGTGGGTAGAAGGTGCACCTGTGTTTGAGAGAGACTCTGACAAAACTGTGTGTGACTTTGTGTCCAAACACATCTCTGCTCAGCTCCCTGACCCAAATAAACAGCCTGAACTGTACAGAAAGGTCAAAGAAGTGCAAATACACAGTAAGAACCACTCAAAGACATGTTTCAAAAGTGCAAGTTCTGGATGCCGATTTGGATTCCCAAAACCACCCTCCAGACAGACAATGATAACAAGACCTGTGGGTGATGATGAGGAGTCAGAGAGACTTAAGACAGCCAAAGAGAAACTTGCACCACTGAATCAGCTGCTGAATGAGACACAAACTGAATCCATGAGTTTTCAACAGCTCCTGTCTGTCTGTGACTTAACCGCTGATGAGTACGAGAAACACATGAATGTGATGAGTCAGTCCAGCAACATCATTCTGAAGCGTGAGCCGAAAGACTGCTGGGTAAACACCTACAACCCTCACCTGCTCAAAGCTTGGGATGCAAACATTGACGTGCAGTTCATTCTCAGCTACTACAGTCTGATCCATTACATATGTACGTACATGTGTAAAAGTGAGAACTCTGTGAGCCAGTACCTGCAAACACTCATTCAGAACTCCGACAGAGAATGTGTCAATGAATGTGATGAAATGAAAGCGGTCATGCAGGCGTATTCCAAAAAGCGAGAAGTATCAGCACAAGAAGCCGTTGCCCGAGTGACTTCACTGAACATGAAAAAGAGTTCACGCAGTGTGGTTTTTGTCCCAACTGATGACAACCCAGTGAAAATGAGTCTGCCTGTGTCAAGCCTTGACAACACAACACCAGACAGCTTGAATGTGTGGATGACATCCTTAACAGACAAGTACAAATCCAGACCTGAATCACCAGAGTTTGAAGAGATGTGCATGGCTGATTTTGCTTCTACCTGCAGACTGGTGTATGGACAACAGACCAAGGGCAAGAAAGTGGTACCTTTGCTGAATGAACTAGGCTTTATACAGAGACGAGAAAGTGACAACGCTGCTGTCATCAGGTATCGCCGCATATCCAAAGAGAAATACCCTGAGCAGTTTTACGGCACATTGCTTAGACTGTATCTTCCATACAGATCAGACGATGAGCTGAAAAGACCATATTTTCCCACGTATGAGTCATTCTATGAGAGAGGTGTGGTTCAGCTGCCGTATTCTGACCGACCCCTGAGTGTGAAACTCATCGTGAAAAGAAACCGAGAGAGATATGAAAAAAACAGTGAGGAAATTGACTCTGCTCTCGAGGACTTTGAACAGAACAGAGGTGTGGTCGATGAATGGTGTAATTTGGCACCTGAATCTGAACTGGTGAGGTTGGAGTGTATCGATGAACTGGATGCCAGACAGTGTGAAAATGTCCAAGAGGATGTACCGGATTACAGCAGACAAGCAAATGCTGCTACAGAGGCCAGAGTCATGAGAGAGCCCCCTACAATCGATCCCACACGGTTACGACAAATGTATCAGAGTCTGAACCAGAAACAGGCATGTGTGTTCTATGCAGTGAGAGACTGGTGCATAAAACGAGTCTGTGGACAACAACCAGAGCAGTTTTTCTACTACATCAATGGTGGTGCTGGCACTGGAAAGTCACATCTCATTAAATGCATTCATTCAGAAGCATCAAAGATTCTGAGAACACTACCTACACGTGCTGAGGAAGCTGACATCTCAAACCCGACTGTGCTGTTGACTGCTTTCACCGGAACTGCAGCCTTTAACATCTCTGGAACAACACTGCACTCTCTCCTCAAGCTGCCCAGAAGTTTGAAACCTCCTTTTCAAGGTCTTGGGAACCAACTTGATGAAATCAGGTGTGAGCTTTTAAACGCTGAAATCATCATCATTGATGAAATCTCCATGGTGTCGAAGCCACTTTTTGCCTATGTGGATATGAGACTGAAACAGATTAAAGGCAGCCACAAACCCTTTGGAGGAATGTCAGTCATTGCTGTGGGAGACTTTTACCAGCTACCGCCTGTGCGACAGTCCAAACCACTGTGTGTCTATGATCCAAGTGAGCTTGACCTCTGGAGAGACAACTTCCAGGTGATCACTTTGGATGAGATCATGCGACAGAAGGATGACAAAACTTTTGCCGAGATGCTGAACAGACTCCGTGTGAAAACAAGGTCAGATGAGCTTTCTGAAGCTGACAGAACTCTGCTGTCACAGCGTGTCACTGAACCACAACTGTGTCCCTCTGATGTGCTGCACATTTTTGCTACCAACAAACAAGTCGCAGAACACAACTCTGCTACACTATCTCTGCTCCATTCTGATATCACCACCATTGATGCAGATGACTTTAAAAAGGACCCACACACTGGACACATGAAAAGACAAGGTGCACCATGTCATGGAAGCAGAAATGATCTACCTGACACACTAGATGTTGCAGTAGGTGCTAGGGTCATGCTTACCAGAAACATTGATGTGTCTCAAGGATTGGTGAACGGATCATTTGCTACAGTAGGCCGTCTCATAAGCTCTGAAAACAATGGTTCTGCTCTTGTCACTATGCTTGGTCTCAGGATGGATGATGAAACAGCTGGCAGGAGCTATCGTACTCGAGGAGACAATCTTGTGTACATCGAGAGATCTGAGGAGGCTCTGCAACAGAAAGGAGTGGTACGCAGACAGTTTCCTGTGAAACTTGCCTTTGCATGCACGATACACAAGGTTCAAGGTATGACCAGAAAATCAACTGTTGTCTCTCTGAAGCACATTTTTGAGCCCGGCATGGCCTACGTAGCTATCAGTCGAGTGACCTCTCTCAGCGGACTGTACATGCTTGATTTGGATGAGAGTAAAATCCATGCTAACCCTGCAGTCACTGTATCTTTGGAGACCATGACGCAAGCTAACTTTGATCACCTCATGCCTTTTCTCCAGATCCAGCATTCTCTCAGCAGACAGGACACTGTGAGCATCATTCATCACAACACCGAAGGATTACCTGCTCATGTGAATGACATCAAAAGCCATCATGAACTGTGTCTTGCAGATGTTTTGTGTCTGACAGAAACTCACCTACAGGGCTCCTTTGTGGCAGACAGTCTCCAGTTTGAGGGCTACACCATGTTCAAACGCAACAGACATTTGTCCTACACTAACTTTCCACAGATGGCCAGTAAAGGAGGTGGTGGAGTCGCTGTTTATGTGAAAAACCATTTGCAGGTTGTGGAGAAACAGTACCTGAATAATGTGACTGACCTCGAGTTTGTGGTTTTGAAGGTTGAATCTCCTGTAAGTGCTCTGATTGCAGCTGTGTACAGACCTCCAGACTACAGTGTGTCATCATTCCTGTCCAATCTGGGAAGCCTTCTGGACTCACTTGAGATCATGGACTGTCATCCTATCATTGTCTGTGGCGATTTCAATGAGAATCTCTTTTCTAATGCAAGTAAGCCAATTTTGGATTTCTTTCAGTCCAAGGGATATGGTCAACTGATCACTGCTGCTACAACGGACAAGAACACACTGCTGGACCTGATTTTCTGTTCACGACCTCAGCTATGTCTCTCCTCAGGTATTGTGCAGACATACTACAGTTACCACAACGCCACTTACTGTGTCATTTCATCCAACAGGTCATAGAGGAAACTACTATTAAGGAAAAGACAAACTACAGAAGCTGTGGCTAATGTTATGCTCATATTTTCAGTACAGATTGAAATGTGTTTGGTCATTGTAAATTTTACTAGTGCAAAAAATATTTTTATGGCTCAGAATTTTTTGAAAGAAAATATTTTTCAGGTTGTAAAATTTTCCAACTATTCAAATGTTATAAATTACAATTTTTGGCCTGTGCATTTATCAAGTCCAGTCAAGTCAAGTTAATCCATTTAACTTGACTTGACTGGACATAGGGAGGGTGGGTGCGGATTGATAAATGCACAGGCCAAAACTCTCAGCTGCTGTGTACAATACTGTATACAGCAGCTAAAATTAAAAACCTCCATCAGAAAGTGTGTGTTCCCTAATGAACACACACTTTCTGATGTTCTGTTACCTACCAGCTGAAACCCCCCTTTTCTCCACCCAACTTTACACCACTCTCTTAGCATGGGTGGCTGTAAGTACACTAGAGCAAACCTAAGTTTCCTTTTCTTTGGGTAGGTTTTTATTTTAAATTTTTTATTATTACTATTTTTTTTTTTTTCAGTTGTCCCCGTCATCTTTAACCTGACCCCCATTAGTACTATCCTGACTAGCTCACTGTAAACTGAAAAAAATTATCAAACTGTCAACCAAAAGTAAACACATCACCTGTGGATGCAGTAGAGTAAAGCTAAGTTTCCTTTTGTTTGGGTATTTTTTTTTTTCTTCTTCAGTTGTCTCTGCCATCTTTGTCCTGACCATTAGTGCTGTCCTGATTAGCTCACTTATGAGCAGAAAAAAATTATCAAACCGTCAACCAGAAGTAAACACATCACTTTGGACCACTCAAAGACACAGTCTACCTGCTGTTTAACCCAGTCTTTGGTCAGAGGTGAAGAAGAGATGACATCCTCCACACCATCCTCCTGCTGCTCTCAACAACCATCATCGCTGTGCTGGACAGACTGCAGCACCCACCGGGACCCTTCTCTCATGGACTACACAAACATGTGTTTTACCTGCTTGTGCCCCAGATGTCCTGAAGCAGCTCTCAAGGACCACCAGACATCAGGCTGAAGCAGAACTGATGCTGTAGTACCTGTCACTCACTGGGCTCGTTCCTGCTGAACCTCCAAGAAATAAACCCCTCTTCAAGAAAGTCTGAGGTAATGTCTTGGTGAACTTGTGTTCATTTATTTTTTCTTAGTTATCTTAGCTGCTGTATTAATGCTTGTGATGCTATTGTACAGCTCTGCTGATACCATCGTCTTTAACTGCAGTGTTTTCTCCCAGGTCTTCTTAAAGCCAGTTAAGAGAGGAAGAACAGCTTAGACACTCAGACAGCTGAACACACCAAAGGTGGACATCATGCAGCCACCCCGAGCCTTGACCCTATCTGTGTGAGGAAGCTTTGCTGCTGCAGACCTGGTGAAGTTGCTCTGCTGCAGTGCTTAAGGTATTCATTGTAATGATGTGTGTATTTATTCAACATGTTTAGTTTCACAGATTATCAACACAAATGTTTCTGTTTATTTCCTGTTTTGAACCAGCTACATTCTCCTACTTCAAGTCACTGTCTGTTCATCCACGGTGTAGCAAGTGCAGCTAACTAATGGTGATCCTACAATCAATTGTATTGATTACAGAGTTAAAGTGAAGGGGATTTTGTTTGTTTTTTTCAGACCTCTCCTCCTCCCGCCTCTGACTCCAGTGATGCTGTCAACTCGAACACTGATAACTGCACACAGTGATTCTACAACCACAGGTCAAAGGTCAAAACATTACCTCACTCAAAACCTTCACTCTGAACTGTACCGGGCTCGGCTTTTGGTTTTGAAAAAAAGTGCCCAGACAGAACACAGTACTCACTTGAGGAACTGACTGATTGTCTTCAGGACAGGACAACTATCACTCTTATATTGTTTTGAATCCTGTTTTCTACATTAAATGATCGGTTGTCGATATCTGTTAATATTTTAAGTTTCCTGTTTCTTGGACTTTATTTGTTCTATCTTATTTTAGTATTTTCTTTCCCTTTTACTGTGTATCTCTCCTTATATCAAAAGATGACCAACACTGATGAACGGAAAAGTTGTTGCAGGCAGCTGAATTTCTCGTTTTAATATGCTCACCATAGCCCTCAAATTTACCTACAAGAGAAGATGTGTTTTTAGAAATAAATGATGTACTTTGGGTTTCAGCTGGTAGGTACACTGCAGGTTTTTCACGTGTGCTTAGTCTTGGGCTAATGTTTTGGACAGCAGTGATCCCAGCATTACAGTGTGAAACAATCCCTGCTGAAGGTTGTCGTCACAATCATCAAACACAGGGCTTGGTTAAACGAACTGTGTGAAGGGATTTCATAGAGGAACAAAGTTCCCAACCCAGCATTTCAGTAAGACAGAGTAGTGTGAATGTTTGGATAAGAAAACACTGGGATCTAAAATGCTGACCAGATTGTCAGTCCACTGCAATGAGCTGATGACAGTATTAGCCTTGGTCTAACTACTGTGAAAAGCCTTTTGGGTGGTAAGGTGGACCAATACATGCTATAAAAAATACTTCAGTGCCATATTTAATTTTTTTAACCTTTCACCTTTGCTTGTATATTTCCGCAAGCCTGGAGGACTGCATCTTTTGCATTTGCATTCTTTTCCTTACCCTCCACATTATTTTAAATTTTTAATTTAGATTTAATTAAAAAAATATATATTTTAATTTCTGTAAAATACTTCTGTACCACACTGTACAGTAAACTGCTGAGATATTTTTGCAAACAAATGAGCAGATGACAATGAGCTGATGACAGTAATAGCCTTGGTCTACTGTGAAAAGCCTTTTGGTGCTAAGGTGGACCAATACATTACATCAATTTATTTCAAGTTCTCAAATCTACTTTTTAATCTGATCATTTTAGATTTTGCTTTAAAGTTTCAGTTTCATATCATTTAATTTTATTTATTATTATAATTATTTATTATTCTATAATTTTCTTTTTTTCTACGAGAGCCCACATTTCACTGCAGTTAGCTTTAAAAAATACTATAATGCCATATTTAATTCATAAGCCTTACACCTTACTTTGCCTGTATATTTCCACAAGCCTAACTTTGCATTATTTGCATTTGCATTCTTTACCTTACCCTTCACATTATATTAAATTTTAATTCAAATCTTTTTTTTTAATTTTAATTTTAACTTCTGTAAAATACTTCTGTACTACACTGTACAGTAAACTGCTGACTTATTTTTGCATACTATTCCTCATGTTCCATTTTATACTTTTTGTGATTCACATTTATGTTGTTATACTGCTGACCGATTGTAGTAACTATTTTTTTTATAACTCTCAAGTCACCATTTTCATATTTTTTTTATGTATAGGTATAAAGGTTTTTCAGATATGCAAACTTAGTCTTAGGCTAATCTAAACCCTTAAAAACACACATAACAGTCCTGTATCAGACTTTGAAATCAAATTTCAAGGTCTGTTTTTAAAGCCCACAACACAGGACTTGGCTTAATGGGCCATGACAAATTTTATGAGCCAACTTTTGTTAAGGCTTAGTAATCCGAAAACACAAGAAAAGAGGTGAATGTGGGTACAGGGCTGCTGGAGTTTGAATCCAGTAAATAATGGGGTGTTAGCCTCAGTCTAACAACTGTGTGAAGAGCCTGTAATGATTGGGCTAAACAATTTTAGAAACAACTGAAAATGTGATACCTTTGTCCATCAACAATCACAGCAACGACAATCTTAAAACCTTAAGCTTAAGAGACAGATTGGTCACCCATGTAAAGATTTCTGCTTCCAATACCTGTTCACAAACAAATTGTTTATAATTTGATTTAAGGCACTATGGAACACTGTTTCTTTATGTGTTTATGTTTTTATTTTTTTATTTATTTTTATTTTTTTAATGTTTTATGATTAATCATTTCATTGCTCAAAAAATGTTAAAGGATTGACAATAATATTTTTCTTAAACATATATATTTAAATTAAACTTATTTGTGTAATGTGTTCATTTCTCATCTACATTCATTTCTACTTCTTCCAACATGAAGGCCTTTTCAGCCATCTTTAAAATTCTTTACCATATTTCCTGTAATGTTCAAGATCAGTTCTTTAGCAATTTGAATATTCATACAGCTACTGGTTTACCTCTCCCAGTGTTTTTACATCCATACAACTCATCTCTTTTTCATCATCTTCTTCTTCAGTTCTGTTACGGTTGAAACATTCATACAACTTCTATTTATAACACTTCACCCCTTTAACAGTTTTTTCATTTATACCTTCTCCATTTATTACTGGCAGTTTAGCATTGCTTTTTCAGCTTTCAGCACTCAGCATTTCCACGCATTTTCTGCAAGGAAATGCAATTTTTCTAGTTAAACTTATTATTCTTCCGTCCCTTTTTTGGACCGCTTCTCCTCCTTCAAACTTTGTCCGATTTCAACCGTTCAAACTTTAAACTCTTCCACTCCTTCAGGACATTATGGCTATTACTTTTCACTTTTCTACCCTTTATACTTTTTGATATTTTTAACTTTTTGTGCAAAAATTTTAACATTGAAGTCAATGGGGAAATCTTCCACCTCTTCCTTTTTTTCTTCCACCTTCAAAGTCTTATAACTTCAGCATACTTTCACCTAGAGACCTCATTTTTGCTTTAAAATGTTCATTCACTTGTCGACTATTATAGTTGTACTCAGTTTTTTGATATCTTTTACAGTTTTTCCACAATTTAGCTTTAAGCAACTTGTGGTTTTCAGCAAATTTCAAGCTTTATAATGGGTGTGTATTGGAGAGTTTAGAGTGATGATGTCATCAGCTAGAGTGCAGACCTCGTCTCTGATCGACAGAACCTCGCTCGAATATATCGCTCCCACGCCCGTAAATCTCACTCCACTGACACAAATAATACATCAAAATGGAGGTATATGTGTCCTGCTTCTCACAAAAGAGGTTTCAAATCATTAAATCGTACCCCTTGGCCAGCAGGTGACCAACTGTCCAAATAGGCGGAAATCTCTCCCATTGACTGTAATGTTATTTTTCTCCAAGAAAATCCGGATCATCGCTCAGGCTCAGACTTTTTTAACTCGCTGTTGTGGCCTCATTTTTCGAAGTACAGACATGAAAAACACATCATTGTGTTCATGAAGGACGGGGGATTCGTACGATGTTCTTATTTTCATTCTGGGACTTAAGGAAATCACGCTATGTGAAGAAGTTCACAGGCTGAAATTCACTGCAGTTCAGCACCTCTCAGTCAAACAGTAGGTTAGTGATTTGCCTTTGATCTCACAGCTGTTAGGGATGCAGTCATTAACGAGACACACACACACACACGCACACACATTCTTGTACTTGTTGCTTTTTGAGGTCCACCTTATAGTTCAGCTGCTTGTACACACAGTTAATATGTGTCTGCTTCACCACCTATCTCCACCCACAAACTTTGAGCTACAGAAACCATTCTGGGCTTCAAAAATTCAGCTCATTGAAGATATTATGGGGTGTTTTGAGGATTGTGATAATAAATTGTATTAATGTGTTTAGCAGAGTCTTGTGTTCTCACAAGCTCCTTATCAGGAATAGATACAGAGGATGAGCGTCAGGGCCTACTTGGAGTCCTGTTTCCTTAGCTTCAAGCCTTCTTTCTCCTGCTATAGGTATGCATCCAAGGTCCCCATGGCAACCAATTAGTGCACCTGGAGACACACAGCTGACTGGAAAGCTTCCTCTAATGGCCATATGAGACACATGAAGCCAGGCTCAGCACACATAGCACTGGGGATGACACTTAAAACCTTTTACTAGAGCGCTTGAAAAAACTTCAGCCCCTATCTCCTCACATGACCTTTGACCTACAGAAACCATTCAGGGCTTTTAAATTTGAGCTCATTGAGGACATTATGGGGTGTATTTAGGATTCATATACATTTAGATTTTTCACATTTTAAAGTCACTCAGTGATGAGTTATCATTTAATTTTTCAAACTAATTTGAACTGATTCAAACTGATTCAAACCTTTCTAATACTTAAAAAATTAAACTTATGCCACTTCTCACCTTCCTGCCTTTTAAGGCAATTTCCTTCTTCATTCAAACTTTGTGCAATTTTAGACATTTTTCTAGCCTCTTTCAGCATGAATAAAATTTCTTTTTATAGAGCATATTCATACTATTTGTCCTTCAACCAATTAATCAATTATCCAACTTACATTTCTTTCACACCCCTTCAACAGCTTTAACATTTATACATTTCTCCATGTTTTATTAGCAGTTTAGCATTGCTTTTTCAGCTTTCAGCACTCAGCATTTCCACGCATTTTCTGCAAGGAAATGCAATTTTTCTAGTTATTATTATTATTCTTCCGTACCTTTTTTGCAACTTTTCAACTCCTCCATACTTTGTCCGATTTCAACCGTTCAACTTTTAAACTATTCCTCTCCTTCAGGAATAGTGCGGATGTATTTTTCACTTTTCAACCCCTTATACTTTTTGATATTTTTGACTTTTTGTGCAAAAACTTTTCCCATTGAAATGAATGGGGAAATCTTCAAATTCTGCCTTTTACTCCTCCACCTTCTCAGCCTTATAACTTCAGCATACTTTCACCTAGAGACCTCATTTTTGCTTCAAAATGTTCACAATCTTCTCCTCCAAATATGCTGCATTGACTTTTTTGTGCTATCTTTTACAGTTTTTCCACAATTTAGCTTTATGCAACTTGTGGTTTTCAGCAAATTTCAAGCTTTATAATGGGTGTGTATTGGAGAGTTTAGAGTGATGATGTCATCAGCTAGAGTGCAGACCTCGTCTCTGATCGACAGAACCTTGCTCGAATATATCGCTCCCACGCCCACAAATCTCACTCCACTGACACAAATAATACATCAAAATGGAGGTATATGTGTCCTGCTTCTCACAAAAGAGGTTTCAAATCATTAAATCGTACCCCTTGGGCAGGAGGTGACCAACTGTCCAAAAAAGGCGGAAATCTCTCCCATTGACTGTAATGTTATTTTTCTCCAAGAAAATCCGGATCATCGCTCAAGCTCAGACTTTTTTAACTCGCTGTTGTGGCCTCATTTTTCGAAGTACAGACATGAAAAACACATCATTGTGTTCATGAAGGACGGAGGATTCGTACGATGTTCTTATTTTCATTCTGGGACTTAAGGAAATCACGCTATGTGAAGAAGTTCACAGGCTGAAATTCACTGCAGTTCAGCACCTCTCATTCAAACAGTAGGTCAGTGATTTGCCTTTGATCTCACAGCTGTTTAGGATGCAGTCATTAACGAGACACACACACACACACGCACACACATTCTTGTACTTGTTGCTTTTTGAGGTCCACCTTGCAGTTCAGCTGCTTGTACACACAGTTAATATGTGTCTGCTTCACCACCTATCTCCACCCACAAACTTTGAGCTACAGAAACCATTCTGGGCTTCAAAAATTCAGCTCATTGAAGATATTATGGGGTGTTTTGAGGATTGTGATAATAAATTGTATTAATGTGTTCAGCAAAATCTTGTGTTCTCACAAGCTCCTTATGAATATATACAGAGGGTGAGCGTCAGGGCCTACTTGGAGTCCTGTTTCCTTAGCTTCAAGCCTTCTTTCTCCTGCTATAGTTATGCATCCAAGGTCCCCATGGCAACCAATTTGTGCACCTGGAGACACACAGCTGACTGGAAAGCTGCTTCTAGTGGCCATATGAGACACATGAAGCCAGGCTCAGTACACATAGCAATTGGGATGACACTTAAAACCCTTTCCTAGAGCGTTGGAAAAAACTTCAGCCCCTATCTCCTCACATGACCTTTGACCTACAGAAACCATTCAGGGCTTTGAAATTTAAGCTCATTGAGGACATTATTGGGTGTATTTAGGATTGTTATTCATTTAAATTTTTCACATTTTAAAAGTCAGTCAGTGATGATTTATCATTTAATTTTTCAAACTAATTTAAACTCATTCAAACTGATTCAAACCTTTCTAATACTTCAAAACTTTCTGATACTTGAGGACTTTTGATAATTTAAAATTTCCCTGTTTTAAATTAGTTTTAATATTTATGCATTACTCCATCATTCAAACAAAATCCTACCTCAAGTACGACAACTACTGCTAATGTCAATTAAACTAGAACTTTCCCCTCTACTTCAACTGCTATTGCTCCTATTTCTACTTTCTTTACTACTTTGACTTATACTTCTTTTATTCTCAATCTACTTCTACTGCTGACATGACTACTAGTATCACGACTTGACTTCTTATCATACTACTTCTAGTACTACAATTTAAACTTATGCCACTTCTCACCTTCCTGCCTTTTAAGGCAATTTCCTTCTTCATTCAAACTTTGTGCAATTTGAGACATTTTTCTAGCCTCTTTCAGCATGAATAAAATTTCCTTTTATAGAGCATATTCATACTATTTGTCCTTCAACCAATTAATCAATTATCCAACTTATATTTCTGTTCACCCCTTCAACAGCTTTAACATTTATACCTTTCTCCATGTTTTATTAGCAGTTTAGCATTGCTTTTTCAGCTTTCAGCACTCAGCATTTCCACGCATTTTCTGCAAGGAAATGCAATTTTTCTAGTTATTATTATTCTTCCGTACCTTTTTTGCAACTTTTCAACTCCTTCATACTTTGTCCGATTTCAACCGTTCAACTTTTAAACTATTCCTCTCCTTCAGGAATAGTGCGGATGTATTTTTCACTTTTCTACCCCTTATACTTTTTGATATTTTTGACTTTTTGTGCAAAAAATTTTCCCATTGAAATGAATGGGGAAATCTTCAAATTCTACCTTTTACTCCTCCACCTTCTCAGCCTTATAACTTCAGCGTACTTTCACCTACAGACCTCATTTTTGCTTTAAAATGTTCACAATCTTCTCCTCCAAATATGCTGTATTGACTTTTTTGTGCTATCTCCTACAGTTTTTCCACAATTTAGCTTTAAGCAACTTGTGGTTTTCAGCAAATTTCAAGCTTTATAATGGGTGTGTATTGGAGAGTTTAGAGTGATGATGTCATCAGCTAGAGTGCAGACCTCGTCTCTGATCGACAGAACCTCGCTCGAATATATCGCTCCCACGCCCACAAATCTCACTCCACTGACACAAATAATACATCAAAATGGAGGTATATGTGTCCTGCTTCTCACAAAAGAGGTTTCAAATCATTAAATCGTACCCCTTGGCCAGCAGGTGACCAACTGTCCAAAAAAGGCGGAAATCTCTCCCATTGACCGTAATGTTATGTTTCTCCAAGAAAATCCGGATCATCGCTCAGGCTCAGACTTTTTTAACTCGCTGTTGTGGCCTCATTTTTCGAAGTACAGACATGAAAAACACATCATTGTGTTCATGAAGGACGGAGGATTCATACGATGTTCTTATTTTCATTCTGGGACTTAAGGAAATCACGCTATGTGAAGAAGTTCACAGGCTTCAAATCCTCTGCTGTTCAGCTGCTTCTCATTCAAACAGTAGGTCAGTGATTAAGTGGAAATGCTGATTAAGCATTTCCACTTATTGTTATTCTCCTATTTCTTTATTATTATTATTATTATTATTATTATTCTTCCGTACCTTTTTTGCAACTTTTCAACTCCTCCATACTTTGTCCGATTTCAACCGTTCAACTTTTAAACTATTCCTCTCCTTCAGGAATAGTGCGGATGTATTTTTCACTTTTCAACCCCTTATACTTTTTGATATTTTTGACTTTTTGTGCAAAAAATTTTCCCATTGAAATGAATGGGGAAATCTTCAAATTCTGCCTTTTACTCCTCCACCTTCTCAGCCTTATAACTTCAGCATACTTTCACCTAGAGACCTCATTTTTGCTTCAAAATGTTCACAGTCTTCTCCTCCAAATATGCTGTATTGACTTTTCTGTGCTATCTCCTACAGTTTTTCCACAATTTAGCTTTAAGCAACTTGTGGTTTTCAGCAAATTTCAAGCTTTATAATGGGTGTGTATTGGAGAGTTTAGAGTGATGATGTCATCAGCTAGCGCGCAGACCTCGTCTCTGATCGACAGAACCTCGCTCGAATATATTGCTCCCACGCCCACAAATCTCACTCCACAGCCATAAATAATACATCAAAATGGAGGTATATGTGTCCTGCTTCTCACAAAAGAGGTTTCAAATCATTAAATTGTACCCCTTGGCCAGCAGGTGACCAACTGTCCAAAAAAGGCGGAAATCTCTCCCATTGACCATAATGTTATTTTTCTCCAAGAAAATCCGGATCATCGCTCAGGCTCAGACTTTTTTAACTCGCTGTTGTGGCCTCATTTTTCGAAGTACAGACATGAAAAACACATCATTGTGTTCATGAAGGACGGAGGATTCGTACGATGTTCTTATTTTCATTCTGGGACTGGAAATCACGCTATGTGAAGAAGTTCACAGGCTTCAAATCCTCTGCAGTTCAGCTGCTTCTCATTCAAACAGTAGGTCTGTGATTTGCCTTTGATCTCACAGCTGTTTAGGATGCAGTCATTAATGAGCCACACACACACACACACACACACACACGCACACACATTCTTGTACTTGTTGCTTTGTCAGGTCTACCTTGCAGTTCAGCTGCTTGTACACCCAGTTAATATGTGTCTGCTTCACCACCTATCTCCACCCACAAACTTTGAGCTACAGAAACCATTCTGGGCTTCAAAAATTCAGCTCATTGAAGATATTATGGGGTGTTTTGAGGATTGTGATGATAAATTGTATGAATGTGATAGCAGAGTCTTGTGGTTTTCACAACCTCCTTGTCATGAATAGCTGGGATCTGGGATTTTGTTTCTCAGCTTCAAGGCTCCTTTCTCCTGCATCTACGGTCCCCATAGCAACCAATTAGTGCACCTGGAGACACACAGCTGACTGGAAAGCTGCTTCTAACGGCCATTTGAAGCACATGAAGCCAGGCTCAGTGCACAGAGCACTGAGGGTTACATTTAAATCCCTTTTCTTCTTCATACAAACTTTGTCCAATTTCAGACATTTTTTCAGCTTCTTTTCACATTTATGCAATTTCAATTTTGCAGCAAATTCACGCTACTTTGGCTTCCTAAACAATTTTCACATTCATTCAATTGCTTCCTCTACTACTTCTTCTTCTTCAGCTTTTCAACTGTTTCTACATTCATACAACTTCTACTTCTTCCACTTCAGCTCAACAGTCATACAACTTCTACTACTTTTACTTCAGCTCATAAACAATTTCTACATTCATACAGTAACATACACATGGACTCAAAAACAGACCAAGTGACACAATACTGCCTCATTGAAACAGACACACCAAAAATGTGAGCCTTCAGGATGGATGGAGTTCCTTAGTATGCCTATGTATGGCCTCCTGGGGGAAGAATGCTGACACACCATGTGTGATTTGGTAGTTGATACAATACAACATAATTATAATTCACTGACTTTGTTTATACACAAAGGGAAATTAATTTGTCTGCAATCTCATTAAAAGGTTTCTCTGGAAGGACAGTTAACAAAGTGTGTAAATCCAGTCAGAAGAGGGAAGAGGGTGACATGGTTGACATCTCCTGGTATTCTTACAAGTGCCTCAGGATGTTAAGTCTATATCCTAGCAGAGTGCAAGTGGGTTGGCATTTTTCAGGACTTTTCCTGGACGTTTTCATCCTGCCTTAACCCATTAAGACCTGAAACCTGTCTGAGACATGCCTCTGAAATCCTGAGGGCAATTTTGAGAAGGGCCCCCAGATCCTGAGGCTTTCTGAAGTATTGAGGTTTACAAAAAAATTGATATCGCAGCCTCTGTAGCAGATAAAAAATATTTGACAGCTTATACACGTGGCTTTAAAGATAACTATCTTTTATTTTTTCTGGAACTTCATCACATTATTGAAAACCTTGTACTAACAAACTCAAATGAAATAAGTGGCTGTATAAATAAAAGTAAAGGCTCTGCACTGGAGAAACTGTTTGCTTTCTGTAAAACAAGTGGCAGTCATGATAAAGTGTCCATTCAACACAAATGTAAAAATAAAACAAAGTGTTGAAAGGGTATACAGCTGCCCTAGTATAGTGCCAGTACAAAAGCAGCACTAAGAACTGAAAAATAAAAAATGAATTAATAAATAAGTGGCTGACAGTGTGTTCATCTCTGTGCTCACCGAAAATCATGCAACACTCACAGACAACGCAGAAAGTGTGAGCCCAAAGCACTCAATGTGAAGAGGTCATTCACACTGCTGGACACTTCTCCTCCGAAGCTGCCCTCTGCAGCCGTCATTGTTTGCTTTCCTCGCGAAGCACATAGCAAGATCCGAGCATGAAATCGAGCGCTTTATTCACCTATCAGATGCAGGCGGGTATGATTATTTGATTCATCACGACTCCGGAATTAATTAAAAAAAAACTACAGAATGTCACACCTAGTGATGTTTCCTTCAGTGCCGAGTAATGAAGGGGCCGTTTCCGCGAAGCGCATATCGAGGCTTGCTTCATCTAGGAGTGGAGCCAAAAATGATGACGTCCGAAGCCTCGCTACCCGGCGTGACTGATTCAAGAAACGGTTCACCGGTTTGGCGGATGATTTAACAGGCAGCGAAACGCAATGGAGTCCTCCCCCACTCACAATCCATAGACTCGAGACTTGTTGAAAAGTTGTTTTTAATTAAAAAATAAATAAATGTAAATGAAATGTTTATGTTTTATATGTTTTCCCTGCAACAAACTAAGTAACACAAGCACATTCACATCACAACCCTCTCCATAATTTATGTCCTCTTCCCCTTTTTGACACTGCAACTGTGTCTTAAAGACAGACACCATGTTGATAACTTAATTTCTGTATTGTATCACAAACACATGGCCTCACATCCATTTATTCATTGAATTCAGAGCTTCGCGCACCAAAGCCTCGGGGTGTCTTTGGTTTATCACTCTGCCTGTTTTACATTTATTGTCCACTTGATGGTGCAATAGAGCAAATGAAGCACGATCATGAAGCTTCGGCCCAGGAGGCGAGTAATTGGATGGAAAGCTTCGATGCTTCATGAGGCTTCATCTCGCCATCACTAGTCACACCCGCTCCCGATTTAAAGGGTAGAAATGCTCAGCGGTGCCGCCGGCTTGGAGGGTTGTAATGCGTACAGGTTTCTTCTTGTTCTTCTTCTTCTTCTTCTTCTTCTTCTTCTTCTTGTTCTTCTTCTTCAGTTTGGTTTAATGGCAGTTTGGCTTAGTGTCTGGGGCATTACCGCCACCTACTGAGTCTACGGTGGAACAGGAGATTAGGCAGTTACAGACCCTTTAGTGGAGACTCCTACATCCTTTCTATTAACCTTGTATCCCGCACAAAATCCATCAGTCGCCCCAGCCTTGCCTTATTGTCCACTTTTAGCAAGTTTTCTAACTTAAATGATTCCTTATCTTTCTCAATTGCTGCTTTCAAGGTCTTGCGTACACGCCTCTCCCAGTTTGAAGGGTTGTAATACCCATAGACATAACACACGTAGACGCCTCATTATGCTGAAGCGTAATCCAGCGTTGCAGTCATATTGGATGGGTCACTCCACTCCAGGCTCGCTCAAGAGCCAAATGGGGTCAATGGAAAACAAGCATTTTTACACTCTATGATTGAAAAACTCAATGCAGTATTGAAATCAGACCACGTAGGATTACATATTACAAATAGAATTGAAAAATAGTTTGTTTTATTTTAATGTGTGACATTTTCCTGTATTATGGCTACATCCCTGCCGTTTATAAAAAAAAAAAAAAAAAAAAACAATGTGAAAATCGGGCAGAGATTCGGAGAGTAATTATTATGAATATTGTTGGGCATTTCTATCTACACTGATGCACTGGAGGCGCGTGGGGATCCTAACCAAGACGGCGGCCACACTGATACGTGAGCTCCACTTCGCGGCGTCAGGCTTTGAGGCTTCTACGTAAATTATGTCCATGGTAATACCTACATGTACCCGGCTTTCCGAGTAGAAATGAGCAGCCGCGCTCCCAGCTCGAAAGGTTGAAATGTGTACATGCTGTCCCGGTTTAAATGGGTTAAAAAAAACTACACACACACACACACACACACACACACACACACACACACACACACACACATATATATATATATATATTTATTTATATATATATATATATATATATATATATATATATAATTGAATAAAATATATTTTAATATATATATATATATATATATATATATATATATACATATATATTATTCTACATGTTATATCATAATCATACATCTGACAACGAATGAAAAGTATGGCGTACACTAGCTCTTCAGTACAGTGTCAAAGACAACACTTGTTGTTAATGAGTTCCATTTAAATAAAGTTTATGGCCCCACCCAGCGTCTTTCATCACCATGGAAACCATTGATCCCCTGTAAAAGAATTGTGTCAAAAGTTTTAGAGCTCCTTTTTGAGAAAGAACAGCAAGAGAAGCGAGAAGAGCACAGAGAAGGGTGAGTCTCTTTTTATATCATATTTAATATTAAATTAGCTTAGAAACTACACTTTCTATTGGACAAAAAAATATTTTTGAATGGTTAATTTCTCCATTTCTCCATCATATTTAATATTAAATTAGCTTAGAAACTACACTTTCTATCATACAAATAATATATTTGAATGGTTAATTTTTCTGTTTCTGTCAATTGTTTTTTTAAGTGTCTTAGTATTTTTGTGTGAGATTTAGCAGTCTTCCTCGAGGAGGCTACAAACACTTTGCTAAGCTAATAGACTCAACTTGGTAAAAATAAAAATAAAAAAATAAATAAAAACTAAATTAGCTATGGTGTAGTCTTCCACTGTAAATCAATTCGGGTGACAAAGATAGCTTTAATTCAGAAATTTTCCATTTTTATGGTTCCTGTAAGCTGTTCACTGTTTAAGACATGTCTCTGTTAAAGACATGTCTTTAGATAGATAGATAGATACTTATATATATGTATAGATGCATGTACAAACTATTTAGAAAAATTAATGTTTAATGCAAGTTTGCCATTAAAAGTTTGTGATAAAAAGGTCTTTCTCTGAAAGTGTCTGCAACTGTCTCCTTAGGCCTAGCTTACTCATGATTGGCTGTTCTTGTGGGACCTCTCTTGTGATTGGCTAGCTCCAGAGCCGTCGCTAGGCTGCTGCTATGCATCCATACTTGACAGGCAGACAAAAATGTAAAAAAAGTATTTCTCTGAAAGTGTCTTCCACTGTGTCCCTGGGCCTCCACTCTAGCTTACTCTTGATTTGTTTGCTAGGCTGCTACTATGCCTCAATATTTGCCAGGCAGTCAGATATGTACTAATGGACTGTCAGACAATAAATAAGATTAAATATAAATCTATTTTTCTCTCTATAAGTATATATGTATAGAGAGAAAGAAAGAGAGAGAGTGTGTTTATATATATATAAATGTGTAAAAATATCAAATAACAAGGCAATTTTGATCACTTAACAAATAATTTAAATAATTTTCAGTATTGACCTATGACTTAAAAAATTATTTTCAGGCTCCTTCTTTGATAGAGAGCTGATTGTATGGATACATATATAATTCAAGAATAATTTTGCCATTTTTAATTATTTAGAGAAATTCATGTTAATAATAATGTAAGTTTGCCATTAAAAGTTTGTGATAAAAAGGTCTTTCTTTGAAAGTGTCTGCAACTGTCCCCTTGGGCCTCCACTCTAGCTTACTCATGATTGGCTTGTGGGACCTCTCTTGTGATTGGCTAGCTCCAGAGCCGTCGCTGGGCTGCTGCTATGCATCCATATTTGACAGGCAGACAAAATGTAACAAAAGTATTTCTCTGAAAGTGTCTTCGACTGTGTCCCTGGGCCTCCACTCTAGCTTACTCTTGATTGGCTGTTTGCTAGGCTGCTACTATGCCTCAATATTTGCCAGGAAGTCAGATATGTACTAATGGACTGTCAGACAATAAATAAGATTAAATATAAATCTATTTTTCTCTCTATACGTATATATGTACAGAGAGAAAGAAAGAGAGAGAGTGTGTTTATATATATATAAATGTGTAAAAATATCAAATAACAAGGCAATTTTGATCACTTAACAAATAATTTAAATAATTTTCAGTATTGATCTATGACTTAAAAAATTATTTTCAGGCTCCTTCTTTGATAGAGAGCTGATTGTATGGATACATATATAATTCAAGAATAATTTTGCCATTTTTAATTATTTAGAGAAATTCATGTTAATAATAATGTACGTTTGCCATTAAAAGTTTGTGATAAAAAGGTCTTTCTCTCAAAGTGTCTGCAACTGTCCCCTTGGGCCTCCACTCTAGCTTACTCATGATTGGCTTGTGGGACCTCTCTTGTGATTGGCTAGCTCCAAAGCCGTCGCTGGGCTGCTACTATGCCTCCCTATTTTATTATTTCTCCATAGGTTATTTTGCCTCTACATTCATTAGAATGGTTGACAACATGACTGACAGCATTAGGAAGTTATATGACACTAGCTTACTCATGATTGGCTGTTGAAGTTAGATGTGGTTGGCTTACTTCAAAGCTGTTACCAAGCTGTTACTATGTCTCCATATTTGCCAGGCAGACAGAAATGTTTACAAAATGGCTGACAACACATCAAAGACACACTAGTTCATTGACTGACTATAACCTGACTGGACCAATACACACTAAGTTACTGACTGACTCAGCAACACACACATACTCTCTCTCTCTCTCTCTCTCTCTCTCTCTCTCTCTCTCTCTCACACACACACACACACACACACACACACACACACACACACACACACACACACACACACACACACACACACACAAGTTTACTGACTGACTATAATCTGACTGAACCCATACACACTGACTGACTGACTGACTCAGCAAGATACACACACACACACACACACACACACACACACACACACACACACATTACTTTTACTGACTGACTAAAATCTGACTGGACTGATACACCTTGACTAATTGGGGTATTATGTTTTTCCGTATTACGAACAGAAAATGCGATGTTACAAACTTTTGTGTTCATACTACATGTATTAAAGGTGGGGTAGGCAGGATCTGAGGAAGTGACAGTTTTTTTGAGAAATCTTAAATGTAAACTCTACCTCTCACAACCAGTTTTCCCCTCAGCTCCTCCTCTTCCCTCCCTCTCTGCTCCAGCAAGCCCCGCCCACAAACAGACGCTCCTTCCGCTCATATCGTTTCAATTAAATTCAGATATGATGCAGATAAACACCTCAGATAATTACAAACAGTACCCACTCAACGTGAAAGTAAAAAGCATTGGTGCTACTGTAGATGCCAACAGACTACCAGCAAACATAATGTTTGCAGGACTTCTACAACTAGGATAAAGTGACATAGTCAAGGACCCACTTGGCTTGCTTTGTTAAAGCAGTTTACCTGTCCAGCAGAAAGGTTACAGGGTCTGTAAGATCCCAAGGTATTTACTTCTTTTTCTTGCTTGTGTTGGCAGTCGTGACCTAAGGAGGATTCAGACAACTTTCGGTACTTTGTGGTTGGTTTCTACTGTCCGATATTGTAGCGCGCTAACTTTGTTTGGGCTCCTGAACGACACTGGGGAGCAGCGTCTGCCTCAGAACCAATCAACCTGGGGGAGGCGGAGAATGGCTTTGTTTACAGTCAGAATGAGTGGAGCGCTCTAAAAATGTAAAATTTTGACTACACAGACATAAGAGAACACAGCAATATTGTTGTATTACCAAATGTCATCAATAGCTAATGACAATTGACTGATATTTAAAGCTTTTACACCACAAAAAAGATGCCTCTTTGACGGATTCCTGCCTACCCCACCTTTAACATGTTCAAATGTGTAATTATTATTCAAAATATTTATACTTCAAACTGTAACTCTCATATGGAATGTTCTACTAAGTACCCCTCCCTTCTCTTTCCAGAATGGATCTATCTATCCTCAAAGTCAAACCCTCAACCCCATACCAAAGACTTCCCCCTCTTCACCTGGCTGTGGTGAAGGTGAAAGAGGAAAGGAGGGTCATCAGGTGGAGTTTTGATGACATCACACCAAGGCCGACCAATGAGAAGACAAATCGAATTGTCATCCTCACTGATGGCAACTTGCTGGAGAGGGTGTATGTTTTTGAGGCAGTGACCACAGTGTTGGAGGAGGGCACTGCCTATGTCATGAAAGGGTACTCCCTCAGAGGGAGTAACCCTCCCTATCGTCTGACCATCTCAAAGGAGACCAAATTTTTTAAATCGGCACCGATTGAGGTGACTGAGGAGCTGAGAGCCAGGGCCAAAAGGCTTCTCTGCCCAGTGAGTGCAGACACAGAACTCTGTGAGGCAAAGAACTGCACGTCCCTCATGACTGTGCAAGGCAGAGTAACTGAGGTAAACTACTTTGTCCATCCGTCCGTCAGTCACAAACACACAAACTACCTGACTGACTATAATCTGACTGGACTGACACTCTCTCACACACACACACCTACACACACACACACACACACACACACACAAACAAACAAACAAACACATATATAGGGGAGACCGGGGCTTGTTGTCACACTTTTTACACTCTTATATATTCCATGGAATCAATACATCATAAGTAAAAAAAATGTTTACCACACGAAAGACCAAAGTCTTATTATTATCAAAATTATTGTTATTCTCATTTTTTTACTTGAAAGTGAACATCAAAGTCAGGAACAGAAAATGTTTATCATTGAGCTAGAAAAAGTCATTGAACGTAGCCATTGAACAAATGTTAACATAAAACATTGTGCAACATGCACTGGAGTTTGAAGATCTGTCTGACTCTGTATTTTCAGCTGGGGTGAATGTTTTGCAGTACCAAGCCAACATAAGGTAGTTGACATTAAAGTCTTTATTGTCTTCCAGATTGATTCATTAGCAAGGATCACCTGTCTGACTGCCCTCAGCATCCCGTCAGGCACTGCACTGCCTTGCTCTGTTTTTCTTTTGTAATTCCTGACCATGACTTCTCACTCTCTCCTCTCCTTTAAACCACTCTGTTCTCTGTAAAAATAAAGTCAAAATTTCAATATGACAACTGCTGATAAGCAGACTCTCTATGTAAATTTTAATCCCTTTTAAACCAAAATGACTGAGACATGCTGCTCTAAACTACCATGTCTGCTAATTAAAGCTCTAGCTTAAAGTTAGCTGAAAACAGAACTATAACTGAGGTATGACAGGATGTCTTAATTTGTCCTCTAATAAGTGCACATGTTTCACTGCTGGGATTTCTATCTAGAAGAAGCTTGTTTTAAAATATATAAGGTTAATTTTCTTTACCTTGGGTTGTGCAAAATGGTTAATTGGCGCTCATCTCAGCTCACAACGTGCTCTTCTTTTCTCAGAAAGAACCTGACCATGTAAAGGAAAAAAACTAGTATTTCACTTTTTAGTTGCGCCCTCTGGTGGCAAAGATAATTGCAATGTGAAAACTTAGCCATGTGACAACAAGCCCCGGTCTCCCCTACAGTACTTTTAAGGACTGACTGAATGACTTGACTGACTGACTGACTGACTGACTGACTCTCTCACACACACACACACACACAAACACACACACACATATGCTAACCTGATGACTTTAATCTGATTGGACCAGTACACACTGATTGACCAACTGACTGACTCAGCAAAACTCTCTCTCTCTCTCTCTCTCTCTCTCTCTCTTTTCCCATCTCTCTCTCACACACGCACGCACGCACACACACACACACGCACACACACACAGGCGCACACTGGCTTACTGACTAATCCCACTGGACTGATACATCTGACTG